AAGGAATATAATGAGAGATTTAGATTAGATACTAGAAAGAAATTCTTTACTGTGGGCATGCTGAGGCACTGGAACAGGTTGCCCAGAGAAGCTGTGGATGCCCCATCCCTGGAGGTGTTCAAGGCCAGGCTGGATGGGGCTTTGAGCAACCTGCTGTAGTGGGAGGTGTCCCTGCCCATGGCAGAGGCATTGGAACTCAAGGATCTTAAAGGTCCCTTCCAACTCTAACCATTCTAGGATTCTATGAAAGTGCCTTTTATTTAAGTGTGGTCCTCCAAAACACTTTCCAGCTCTCAAACAATATGGAGAAGAGCTGCTGAGGACATTCTTCAGTTCAGCCCTGAAAAACCTGTGATTATGCCATGCTGCACCTCCAGTGCTCTGCTTCCCATCTAGATGTGCTGTGGACTTGGGGGAAAAAGATGCAATGGAAGAAGGGGCCAGTGTGGGGGCAGTGGAAGTTTTAAAGTTTTCAGAGTCTTTGAAGCTGCTTTGGGATGAGGGAGGAAAAGACAGAGAGTGAAAAGGAAAGTGCAGGGGATGGTAAAAGATAAAAGTATGACATTTCCATGTGCTTGGGACAAGTGGCCATGGAAGGAGTAATAGGAACCTCAAAACCTGGATGCTCTCTTACTGTCTTGCAGCTTATAAGGCAAAACCTGCAGGAGATGCACAGAGCTCAGTGCAGGAAGCTGTTACCAAAGCTTTTCCCAGGGTAATTTCCTAGAAAACAGCTCTCTGGTGTTCTGGGATTGGAAACACAGTGCTCTTCTGCAGAGAGGAAAACAAACGGAAACCAAAGCCTAAGCATTCAGAAAATCCTGTGAAAATGAAGACTTTGCAGGAGATAATTCAAGGGAAGACTGTGAAACCTTCTAGAAAATGAGTATTGCATCATTTCAACAGAGGGTTAATACATTGGTCTGCTTGAGTGGGCACGTCACCACCACCCAGAAGTCACCCCACAGTGACTCATCTGCCAAAGCAGCCCTCAGCCCACTAAAATTCCCATCCATTATCTAGCTTTGCACAGGTCATGTATCCAGTCAGCCTTGTTTTACAGACCAAACCCTGTGTTCCTGATTCAAAAACCACAAAAAAGCACAATCTTTCAAGTCTGGGAGAAAATAAATATCGAAATTCTTGAACTCTGTGATAAGCCTTTCAGACATCACTTGCTTGCTGAAAGGCTTAATCCTGAAAAAGTCCCTGCTTCAAAGCACACTGAGATCAGTCAACCTGTTTTTGTCACGCTTCTGTAACTACATATATTGAAAGGTCCCCAAAGCCCAGTGCACTAATTTTTTCTATTTATAATTCTGTGAAAAACCTCAGACCTCACCTTGAAGTTTTCTTGTTGCCAGTGTCTTTTTGATTTAAATGTGGTTGTTGATGTCTGAGTTTTTGTTCACCCTGGCTGATTGTGGTGATAAAGCTATTTTCTCTGGCCAACTACAGTAACAGGATCCTCTGGGTGAAGTGGGCTGAGCAGTTCCTTTCCACCATTATTATGTGGTGTAATCAAAGATCAGTACTGCCTGATTAAGAAGACCTTCCTCCGTGTGGCTGAGGTGTGTGATCTATCTGGAGTTTATCTGACTGAACGAGGTGCTGAAAAGGAGCACTTGCATTTTCCTGGGTTTGACAAAGTCCCTCTTATCTCACTTTACCATTGCTGACTGGTCGAAGGAGCGATGATCACCTGAAGGTGAGATCCCATTTTCCTGCCTCAGGATCCATGATTTCACTTAGTGGCAGCAATGAGGGGAAGTAGTGCTCTAGAAGAAGGGTCCTATGAGCCAGTTATGAGAATGCATCAGGTTCCTTCAGAAACTTAGCACATTTCTGGGAGTCTGGGCAACATGACTTGAGGGGTCAGATCCCACCCTGGAAAACTGAGTTCCAGTGTGACTCACACACAGGTCACCCATGCAAAGAAATATGTCCCAATAGATAATTTGATATTACGTGTTTGAAATTCACACTGTAGCTTAAATTCCTCCAGTTTGAAGGCAGGCACAATACGGTGCTATTGGACGGGCGACCAAAAATTCCTATCAGCTGTTTGCAAACAGCTGCAAGTTATCTCTGCAAGAGAAGAAAGCAGCAACAACATGCCCTAATTATTTGGAGTTGAAAAACTGATTTTAGAATAGAATGATGTGTTTAGGAATAGTTTTTGGCCAGATAAGCTGGTTAAGTTCTATCAAAATGTTATTTTCTGGCTGCTCCTCACGTCTCCAGCCTGCAGTCCCAGGCGTGTCGGGGCAGGGTTGGGAGCATCCCAGCCTGTGTGAGGTTTGCAGGTCCCTCTCTGGAGACTGGTACAGATGGCACAGGTGGCTCACGGCTAATGGGGCTTCATGGAAGAGAGGGTTCACTTTATTCAGGTTGTCTTTAGTAACAAAAATAATTTCAATTATTTGGGAATACTAAATGAAATTTTCACTTCTGTTGCCGTATCTTTGTAGAGGAGCAGGAGACAGATGTGGGGGCTGTGTCTGTTTTGTGTGAAAGCAAAGCTGCTGCAAGTTCTGCTTCAATGTCATGAAGGCGTCTGAATGGAAATTTTGATGTGTGGTTGTAGTTTGCAGCTTGCTCGGTTAGGGATGAATTTTCTGACTTCACTGGAGTGCTGGATAGGAAGGATGGTGGATGCAAAATGGCAGGGAGAAGTTTCCATAGCTGTGCTGCTCAAGGCAGTGCATTGTGGTTTTAGGCTAGGGACCAAGAGGAAGAACATCCATGGCACGTGTGCATTGGCAGGGTCCACATGACAGCCAAGCCCCCGTCTCTGGGCCAGCCACCCACGTGCAGCAGACAGACGGGTGCAGCTCCCCTGGCATTTGCACAGCCGGCTGCAGCTCTGCTGCTAGTATTGATTTATTTTCACATCTGGGCTTCATGCCACCTGCGGACCTCGTGGGAAACCAGTGAGAAGTTCTTTGGTGTGTGGGTGTCCATTAGCACATGTGTGCTTTTCTCTTGGGGACCTCTGGGCTTGGGAGCAGGGAGCAGCAGGGGCTGCTCTGCTCGCTCTCATGTCCCTCTGGAGGAGGCTACCACCTCATCAGCCAAACTGGCAAGAGGAAACTCATGTCTGGCTGGAGCTCCAGCACCTCAAAACTAAGTGCAATCTTTCACACTAAAACATTTTGATGGCAACTGATGCAAGCCTTTAAACTGTCCCTGGAGAAGCACAGGTTTCCTTCAGCTTCTTCTTGGCATTGGTTAGGCCCCACCTTGAGTACTGCATCCAGTTTTGGGCCCCTTACTACAGAAAAGACATTGAGGTCCTGGAGTGGGTCCAGAGAAGGGCAACGAAGCTGGTGAGGGGTCTGGAGAACAAGTCTTATGAGGAGAGGCTGAGGGAGCTGAGGTTGTTCAGCCTGGAGAAAAAGGAGGCTGAGGGGAGACCTTATCACTCTCTACGACTACCTGAAAGAAGGTTGTATGATAATTCGTCATCTTTAGGACAAGAGGAAATGGCCTCAAGTTGTGCCAGGGGAGGTTGAGATTGGGTATTAGGAAAAACTTTTACCCTGAAAGGGTTATTAAGCATTGGAATGGGCTACTCAGGGAAGGGGTTGAGGCACCATCCCTGGAGGTATTTAAAAGATGAGTAGACATAGTGCTTAGTGACATGGTTTAGTAAGGGTCTTTATCAGAGTTAGGTCAATGGTTGGACTAGATGATCTGAAACATCCCTTCCAACCTAGAAATTCTATAATTCTATGATTTTCCTGTGGGGTGGAAGTTCCCTGTATGGGGGAAAAAGTGGAAAATTAATAAAAGCTATCAAACAATTTATGAAATTAATAAAATATCTTACACTTGGCGACAACGAGCCATGCCAGATTTTGGTTCTCAGGTCTGTTGGCCTAGTGTTGGACTGTGCAGGAAGTAGGTGTTCGCCATCCTGCTCCAGAGGTTTGTGCAATGCAGAAGTGGCACATTTGCCAGACAGGAAGCCATCCCTGGCTGATTTCACTCCGATCCCAGCAGCCATGGACTAAATTATCCCTGCAGAAGAAGTTTATCTTTCAGTGCAGTCTGGTTTTCTGTGTAGCAGGTGGAAGAGGTAAGAAATTGTTCAGCAGAAGGGCCTATGGGTAAACTGTCTGTATTGTATCTCCAGAAGTACAGGGGGAAGGTACCAAAAGGGTTTGCTGAGACGTAACATGGTTGAGGATATGTAGAGGTGGAAAGGACAGGATTGTGGGAGAAGAGTCCTTATTTCAGAGTGCCAAACCCTGAAGAACTGGACTTTGATCAAAATCTGGACCTGCCTGTCCAGGTCTTTAGTTCAGTCAGAAACGGCCAGGCACCAAACTGATCCTGAGCATTCCCATTCAGCCTGGAGAAATTTCTGGTCAAACCCATCATTTCTGCACATGCCATGGCTTCCTCTCCCAGATGCCATCCATTTCCACAGGAAAGCAATGATATCTCTGCCTTTCTAAGTAAAATGTCTTTTTGCTACTTTCATTAACCTTTAGTAAAGAAAGTAAGAGACAAAAATGACACCTACTGGACATATCTGGGTAACTTCTCTAGAGATGTCTAAAAATATAGGTCTTTTACAGCATCTTTTTACTACAAAGACTGGGCTATTTTGGACTCTTGAGAGTTTAAGTACTTCTGGCCTCTAACAGGATTGTTGTTATATTTATAGCAAAGTGAGTTCAAACTCAAGATGTCTACAGACAAGACTAAGATTTCTCAGGAAATAATTGCACAATCTCTGTGATTCAGTTCCCTTGCCCATAAATTGTGGAAGTCCTGGGTTGTTTTTCCTTGCTACATTTGACTGCATTGTCTAGTCCTTGAATGGTATTTTCGAGCTGATTAAATGAATTAAAGAATGATTAAAAGTCTTTATTGTTTAAAAATCCTTATTGCACTGTTACGGCACCCATTTTTAAAAAGGTAGAAATGAGGACTCTGGGACCTACTGACCTGTCAGACTCACCTCTGTGCCTGCGAAAATTATGGAACAGGTCCTCCTGGAAGCTATGCTAAGACACATGGAGGACCAGGAGGTGATTCGAGACAGCCACTGTGGCTTCATCATGGGCAAGTCTTACCTGACCAACCAAATGGCCTTCTATGGTGGAATGATTTCATCAGTGAACAAGGGAAGAGCTACTGGTGTCATCTGTCTGGACTTCTGTAAGGCCTTTGACATGGTCCTCCACAATATCCTCCTCTCTAAATTGAAGAGACGGATGGGCTATTTGGTGTGTAAGGAGTTGGCTGGATGATCACATCCAGAGAGTAGTGCTCAATGGCTCAATGTCCAGATGGAGACTGGTGACAGGGGGTCCATGTTGGGACTAGTACTGTTTACTATCTTCTTCAATGACATAGACGGTAAATCTGGCAGTGATTGTGTCAAGTCTAAAAACCCAGAAGGCTCGGACAAGAGAAGCCCACAGATGTTTGGATGCTTAGTTCAAGTAAATAATGTGAGCTTTCAGTTTTGGCTCAGGGGTGAATCACTATGAAAACCACCTTCTTTTGTGGTATCTCAGCAGTTGCCAAAAAGCAGAAAATGACGGCACCCACAAAAACAACAAGTAAAAAATCTTGTCAGGCTTTTAAAAACCTCAGTTAAAAAATTCTTGGTACTGTACATGGGAAAACAGAATCACGAGGACAGCCAGTCAATGACCCGTTGGACCTGCAGTTCTGGGAAACCTCCAAGGAATGAGGAAGAATCTCCAGAATCCCTGTTTATGAATTTGTCCCCCAACAATAAACAAGGTGCTGAATCTAGTATTGGCAACTGATAATCATTGTATCTATCCATGATATTTTTTGCAATGCCTATTTCTGATTTATTTGTTTCCCTGTCCCCAGATTTCCCTTTTTAAACTTCTTTTTATTTTTTATTGTGATGCTTCTGGGTTTGTCTCTTCCTTCTAGGTGATGTTCTACCAACCAACCACATGCTTACATTAAAGAAAAACATTAGAATTTAAGCAGACCTGGTAAGAAGTGACTATACGCTTTTTCCTTTTAATTTTTTTTGTTGTTGTAATCTAGTTATCCTAGGTTGTAAGATATTTGAGGTGAGGGTTGTTGCATCATGATACTGAATTGGCATTACTATTAACTTTATTAATCACGCTATTAATTTACATCGATCATTTATAATACAATGGTTGGAAATGTGACGTGTACATGTTATTACAGCAATTGCCAGAATAATACATTTCGCCTGATACTTATGAGAGGTTAAAGATCACATTCTTTCAGAGATACCTAAGCAAAGTGACCTGTAAGTCAAAAAACTGTCACAGCCTGCCTTCTAACACCGAAGCAACAGCGTTACTGCTCTTTTGATAGTATATTTGGTAGATTCATTACTAGAGAAAGATTGGAAATATCCTTAACTGTGACTTCCCATATTTATTCTTATGTGACTATCTATTTTTTTCAGTTACTTTTAATATCCTCCCAACAGAGCAGGATCTTACAAGTAGAACATGACCTTACAAATCCAACAAGCACTAAACCCAGCTTCTGCGTGCATGGGAAAAAAAAATGCAAGTTGAGAAACCAAGCAGTTGGCAGCCAGGAAATGGAGCCTGTTCTGTGACCTCTCATGATAATAAGAGGGTTTGGTGGTTACAGACTTCTCCCAGGAGCAGAACATGGTGTGTTGTTTATAGAGCAAAGAGAAGGAACTTGTAAGAGCTGCAGTTACGGTACATATAGATATTTTCTACCTGCTATTTCTTTTCCTCTATTTACTTCTCTACACACACAGGAGTTTGTTGCTAAGGCACAGTGCAGAACAGAGCTTTTTGGAGGGAGCACTCAAGGCAGCCTTCTGCTGAAGTGGTGTTGTGCGCTCAACCATGAAGAGAGAGATTTTCTCATGCTTGTTCTCTTAATAGCTAAGGTCATTCTAGCTGGATGCATCTGGCTGCTCTTCCATCCCCCCCCAAAAACCGACATGTGGCAAATGTGATGGAGGAAAATTCTCAATGTGAGTCGAGGACTACTTGGCAAGAATGTTCTTGGAGTGGAGGATCAAAGCTACCGTGTTCTCTGGGACAGTGGGATCAGTACCTTCTCTTGTGGTTGTAGAGCGTTTGGACCCACGCTGTGTGTAGGAGGGAGAATCAACGTAGCAACACTGAGCATTGCCAGGAAGGGGCAGCTCAGGCACGTGCCTGTGATGATGGCTAGGGGACACCTGAGAAAGAAGATGCTTGGACTTCTGAAAACAGGACAAGCATGAAGTCATCTTTCCCTTCTTTTACTCTACCAATTTCTGGCAACCTAGAAGAATAAGGACTCCTGATTCCAAAGATACATTTGAAGGGTACCTATTAAATATAATTAACTATATTTAATTGTACAAGAGTAAGTTTTCTTCTGAACTTTTGACTTGGGCACTATTCTGTGGTTAAATTCTACACAGGAGTTACCAACCTGCAGGCTGGTTATCATAGCTCTAGATCATGATCTAATCGTTTTTCTGCTAGCTCTGCCAGTATGACTCATTCTTTATTTGGGTGATTTGCAAGACGCGTGAGCTAGATAACCGCACTAACTGTCAGAAATCCAGGAATGATGAGACGCATTCACAGAAGTAAATGTAGGGCAAGCCTATTGTGTCTCTAAGGATGTCTGCTTAGCCTTTTTAATTTATGCCTATCGGCATAGCAAATCAGCTGATGGGTGAGTCTGTTTAAGAACAAAACTGAGAAAAATCTGTATGCAAAAGAGGAAGCAGTGATCAAAACTTGTCTATGCAATTATGGGCTATACACATCTTGTATTTACTGAAGCAGAGGAAATGGAAGAACTTTAAACTTCATGTTTAAAATGTGCTTCTGCCAGTAGCCAGCACGATTAAAATCTATCTACCTTCACACCTCTTTGATTTGGCCTTAATTGATGTTTCCACAGCTCAGTAATCGCTGGTAAAGAGAAGAGGATAAGAGGCCTCTCTACAATCCATTTTTATAGTGTTTCTCTGATTGTTTATCTGATAATTATCAGGAATTCTTGGTCCTAGGTATAGATTAGCTCAGGATATTGCAGCTGTTGACAATGTTAGGGATGGGGAGAAGAGCTCCTTTTAAAAGGATAAACTTTGAAGTTTTAGAGAGGTGACAATTTTTACTTATTTCCAAATGATGAAGCATAGAGATGAACAGGACCATGAGGCAAGCTACACTCAACGAAGACCATTGAACTATGTTCTCAAAGAGACTAAAAATGCAAAAGCTGGGAAAATAAAGGGAAAAGACAAAAAAAACCCCACAGACCTCCAAGGACCCTTTATGGGAATAAATATATTTCCCCCTCTCCCTCCTACAGACACTAGACAATAGTCACTTCTTGTTATGCAGGGTCAGATGCTCTGCTCATGATTAAATTGCTAGATAGTGTGCTGGAAGGTGACTTCATTTAATGCCGATCCTTTCCATGCTCCATTGTGTAATGGAGTTTTAGCCTAACCACAGCCTCCCAGTGGAAATCCCCAGCAGGTAATTTTTCTCTTTCCTTTATTCCTTTGACATTTATTGTACAAAGCTATATGGAAGTTCTTGCTGTTTTTCAAGCCATTGGTGCAGAGAACAAAGATTGAAGGAGAGACCACCCAAGGAATGATCAGATAATTAACCGCCCTCCTTCCCTACATCCTTTTCTGTGGCCCTCAGAGCTGGGCACTGAGCCAGGCTCATGGCACTGGGACAAGCATGTGTGAACAGGGGAAGGGATACACCATCTTCTTTTCTGTTGCCTCAATTTAACAAATGAAATCACCTGGTTTCATACTTGCAGCAATTAAACACGATCCCATCCATTAATACTGGTGTACCCTCAAAGAGCTGCCCCAGTGGGTTGCTGGCTGACCCCAGCAGCACAATCAGAGACATGCCCCTCTTGCAACATCTCCTCTTCCTTTGCCGTTGGCTTGGTTTGCAGAGCCCTCAACCCCCCGTCCTGATTTCTGTGGTGATGGGTATTTGAGGATGCTCTAAGAGGTGCTGCCCCTCTTCTGTGTCTGTGTGGGGGCATGCCCAGAGGAGTGGGGTGCTAACCACTGCCACTTGCTCAGGGGAGAGGATATCCCCTCTGCAGTGCCATGTCGGGTTTCACAGGAAAGTGAAACAATCACAGGAACTCTCAGTGGTGCCTGACCCTCTCTCGCAGTTTCATGAGCTCCCAATCAACAGACTTCACTACAGGACCTGTTTGATTTCTTCTGTTCTTCTTTATTCCTGACCTTCTTTCTTCATTTTCTCTTTTTCTTTCTTTTTTTCTTTCACTTTTTTTCTTATTTATCTTCTTTTTTTTTGGAAGAAGACATATCACCTTATTAAACCTCAGCCTTTTGCATTGTAGGGCTGCTCAGATATCTGCAAAAAATGTTTGTACTGTGCCCCAGGATAAGGAAACCTGCACATGACAGCTCTTGGCAGAATTTCATTTAATTACTCACTGAGGTGGCCTGAAAAGCCTGATATTCAGGTTTGCTCAAAGAGAACCTGAAATGACAGACGGCCCGTGTATTACCCTCTGTTTGAAAAGGTGCCCTCATGATGGTAGACACCTTGTTCAACAGTTTGATTCATGGCAGTAAAGGTGCTGCCAAAGTAAAGAGCACTTCAAAAACTGCTTTGAAATACCCTGTTTTGTCCTCTGCATGGTAAAATGAATGTTGTCAATTTAATTCCTTGTATTAGCAAGGCCATAATAATGTTCAGTCATGCTTACATGAAAGGGTTTATTTAAAAAAAGAGGAACGAACAAGAGACAGAACAGCTCGATTTTCAGAGGAAGATGCCCAGAATTTACAGACTGTGGCTATGCAACAAGTTTCCAAACACAGCCTTCCTTTAGACACCTTCATACAGTCTCCAAATGGAAGAAGGAATATAATGAGAGATTTAGATTAGATACTAGAAAGAAATTCTTTACTGTGGGCATGCTGAGGCACTGGAACAGGTTGCCCAGAGAAGCTGTGGATGCCCCATCCCTGGAGGTGTTCAAGGCCAGGCTGGATGGGGCTTTGAGCAACCTGCTGTAGTGGGAGTTGTCCCTGCCCATGGCAGAGGCATTGGAACTCAATGATCTTAAAGGTCCCTTCCAACTCTAACCATTCTAGGATTCTATGAAAGTGCCTTTTATTTAAGTGTGGTCCTCCAAAACACTTTCCAGCTCTCAAACAATATGGAGAAGAGCTGCTGAGGACATTCTTCAGTTCAGCCCTGAAAAACCTGTGATTATGCCATGCTGCACCTCCAGTGCTCTGCTTCCCATCTAGATGTGCTGTGGACTTGGGGGAAAAAGATGCAATGGAAGAAGGGGCCAGTGTGGGGGCAGTGGAAGTTTTAAAGTTTTCAGAGTCTTTGAAGCTGCTTTGGGATGAGGGAGGAAAAGACAGAGAGTGAAAAGGAAAGTGCAGGGGATGGTAAAAGATAAAAGTATGACATTTCCATGTGCTTGGGACAAGTGGCCATGGAAGGAGTAATAGGAACCTCAAAACCTGGATGCTCTCTTACTGTCTTGCAGCTTATAAGGCAAAACCTGCAGGAGATGCACAGAGCTCAGTGCAGGAAGCTGTTACCAAAGCTTTTCCCAGGGTAATTTCCTAGAAAACAGCTCTCTGGTGTTCTGGGATTGGAAACACAGTGCTCTTCTGCAGAGAGGAAAACAAACGGAAACCAAAGCCTAAGCATTCAGAAAATCCTGTGAAAATGAAGACTTTGCAGGAGATAATTCAAGGGAAGACTGTGAAACCTTCTAGAAAATGAGTATTGCATCATTTCAACAGAGGGTTAATACATTGGTCTGCTTGAGTGGGCACGTCACCACCACCCAGAAGTCACCCCACAGTGACTCATCTGCCAAAGCAGCCCTCAGCCCACTAAAATTCCCATCCATTATCTAGCTTTGCACAGGTCATGTATCCAGTCAGCCTTGTTTTACAGACCAAACCCTGTGTTCCTGATTCAAAAACCACAAAAAAGCACAATCTTTCAAGTCTGGGAGAAAATAAATATCGAAATTCTTGAACTCTGTGATAAGCCTTTCAGACATCACTTGCTTGCTGAAAGGCTTAATCCTGAAAAAGTCCCTGCTTCAAAGCACACTGAGATCAGTCAACCTGTTTTTGTCACGCTTCTGTAACTACATATATTGAAAGGTCCCCAAAGCCCAGTGCACTAATTTTTTCTATTTATAATTCTGTGAAAAACCTCAGACCTCACCTTGAAGTTTTCTTGTTGCCAGTGTCTTTTTGATTTAAATGTGGTTGTTGATGTCTGAGTTTTTGTTCACCCTGGCTGATTGTGGTGATAAAGCTATTTTCTCTGGCCAACTACAGTAACAGGATCCTCTGGGTGAAGTGGGCTGAGCAGTTCCTTTCCACCATTATTATGTGGTGTAATCAAAGATCAGTACTGCCTGATTAAGAAGACCTTCCTCCGTGTGGCTGAGGTGTGTGATCTATCTGGAGTTTATCTGACTGAACGAGGTGCTGAAAAGGAGCACTTGCATTTTCCTGGGTTTGACAAAGTCCCTCTTATCTCACTTTACCATTGCTGACTGGTCGAAGGAGCGATGATCACCTGAAGGTGAGATCCCATTTTCCTGCCTCAGGATCCATGATTTCACTTAGTGGCAGCAATGAGGGGAAGTAGTGCTCTAGAAGAAGGGTCCTATGAGCCAGTTATGAGAATGCATCAGGTTCCTTCAGAAACTTAGCACATTTCTGGGAGTCTGGGCAACATGACTTGAGGGGTCAGATCCCACCCTGGAAAACTGAGTTCCAGTGTGACTCACACACAGGTCACCCATGCAAAGAAATATGTCCCAATAGATAATTTGATATTACGTGTTTGAAATTCACACTGTAGCTTAAATTCCTCCAGTTTGAAGGCAGGCACAATACGGTGCTATTGGACGGGCGACCAAAAATTCCTATCAGCTGTTTGCAAACAGCTGCAAGTTATCTCTGCAAGAGAAGAAAGCAGCAACAACATGCCCTAATTATTTGGAGTTGAAAAACTGATTTTAGAATAGAATGATGTGTTTAGGAATAGTTTTTGGCCAGATAAGCTGGTTAAGTTCTATCAAAATGTTATTTTCTGGCTGCTCCTCACGTCTCCAGCCTGCAGTCCCAGGCGTGTCGGGGCAGGGTTGGGAGCATCCCAGCCTGTGTGAGGTTTGCAGGTCCCTCTCTGGAGACTGGTACAGATGGCACAGGTGGCTCACGGCTAATGGGGCTTCATGGAAGAGAGGGTTCACTTTATTCAGGTTGTCTTTAGTAACAAAAATAATTTCAATTATTTGGGAATACTAAATGAAATTTTCACTTCTGTTGCCGTATCTTTGTAGAGGAGCAGGAGACAGATGTGGGGGCTGTGTCTGTTTTGTGTGAAAGCAAAGCTGCTGCAAGTTCTGCTTCAATGTCATGAAGGCGTCTGAATGGAAATTTTGATGTGTGGTTGTAGTTTGCAGCTTGCTCGGTTAGGGATGAATTTTCTGACTTCACTGGAGTGCTGGATAGGAAGGATGGTGGATGCAAAATGGCAGGGAGAAGTTTCCATAGCTGTGCTGCTCAAGGCAGTGCATTGTGGTTTTAGGCTAGGGACCAAGAGGAAGAACATCCATGGCACGTGTGCATTGGCAGGGTCCACATGACAGCCAAGCCCCCGTCTCTGGGCCAGCCACCCACGTGCAGCAGACAGACGGGTGCAGCTCCCCTGGCATTTGCACAGCCGGCTGCAGCTCTGCTGCTAGTATTGATTTATTTTCACATCTGGGCTTCATGCCACCTGCGGACCTCGTGGGAAACCAGTGAGAAGTTCTTTGGTGTGTGGGTGTCCATTAGCACATGTGTGCTTTTCTCTTGGGGACCTCTGGGCTTGGGAGCAGGGAGCAGCAGGGGCTGCTCTGCTCGCTCTCATGTCCCTCTGGAGGAGGCTACCACCTCATCAGCCAAACTGGCAAGAGGAAACTCATGTCTGGCTGGAGCTCCAGCACCTCAAAACTAAGTGCAATCTTTCACACTAAAACATTTTGATGGCAACTGATGCAAGCCTTTAAACTGTCCCTGGAGAAGCACAGGTTTCCTTCAGCTTCTTCTTGGCATTGGTTAGGCCCCACCTTGAGTACTGCATCCAGTTTTGGGCCCCTTACTACAGAAAAGACATTGAGGTCCTGGAGTGGGTCCAGAGAAGGGCAACGAAGCTGGTGAGGGGTCTGGAGAACAAGTCTTATGAGGAGAGGCTGAGGGAGCTGAGGTTGTTCAGCCTGGAGAAAAAGGAGGCTGAGGGGAGACCTTATCACTCTCTACGACTACCTGAAAGAAGGTTGTATGATAATTCGTCATCTTTAGGACAAGAGGAAATGGCCTCAAGTTGTGCCAGGGGAGGTTGAGATTGGGTATTAGGAAAAACTTTTACCCTGAAAGGGTTATTAAGCATTGGAATGGGCTACTCAGGGAAGGGGTTGAGGCACCATCCCTGGAGGTATTTAAAAGATGAGTAGACATAGTGCTTAGTGACATGGTTTAGTAAGGGTCTTTATCAGAGTTAGGTCAATGGTTGGACTAGATGATCTGAAACATCCCTTCCAACCTAGAAATTCTATAATTCTATGATTTTCCTGTGGGGTGGAAGTTCCCTGTATGGGGGAAAAAGTGGAAAATTAATAAAAGCTATCAAACAATTTATGAAATTAATAAAATATCTTACACTTGGCGACAACGAGCCATGCCAGATTTTGGTTCTCAGGTCTGTTGGCCTAGTGTTGGACTGTGCAGGAAGTAGGTGTTCGCCATCCTGCTCCAGAGGTTTGTGCAATGCAGAAGTGGCACATTTGCCAGACAGGAAGCCATCCCTGGCTGATTTCACTCCGATCCCAGCAGCCATGGACTAAATTATCCCTGCAGAAGAAGTTTATCTTTCAGTGCAGTCTGGTTTTCTGTGTAGCAGGTGGAAGAGGTAAGAAATTGTTCAGCAGAAGGGCCTATGGGTAAACTGTCTGTATTGTATCTCCAGAAGTACAGGGGGAAGGTACCAAAAGGGTTTGCTGAGACGTAACATGGTTGAGGATATGTAGAGGTGGAAAGGACAGGATTGTGGGAGAAGAGTCCTTATTTCAGAGTGCCAAACCCTGAAGAACTGGACTTTGATCAAAATCTGGACCTGCCTGTCCAGGTCTTTAGTTCAGTCAGAAACGGCCAGGCACCAAACTGATCCTGAGCATTCCCATTCAGCCTGGAGAAATTTCTGGTCAAACCCATCATTTCTGCACATGCCATGGCTTCCTCTCCCAGATGCCATCCATTTCCACAGGAAAGCAATGATATCTCTGCCTTTCTAAGTAAAATGTCTTTTTGCTACTTTCATTAACCTTTAGTAAAGAAAGTAAGAGACAAAAATGACACCTACTGGACATATCTGGGTAACTTCTCTAGAGATGTCTAAAAATATAGGTCTTTTACAGCATCTTTTTACTACAAAGACTGGGCTATTTTGGACTCTTGAGAGTTTAAGTACTTCTGGCCTCTAACAGGATTGTTGTTATATTTATAGCAAAGTGAGTTCAAACTCAAGATGTCTACAGACAAGACTAAGATTTCTCAGGAAATAATTGCACAATCTCTGTGATTCAGTTCCCTTGCCCATAAATTGTGGAAGTCCTGGGTTGTTTTTCCTTGCTACATTTGACTGCATTGTCTAGTCCTTGAATGGTATTTTCGAGCTGATTAAATGAATTAAAGAATGATTAAAAGTCTTTATTGTTTAAAAATCCTTATTGCACTGTTACGGCACCCATTTTTAAAAAGGTAGAAATGAGGACTCTGGGACCTACTGACCTGTCAGACTCACCTCTGTGCCTGCGAAAATTATGGAACAGGTCCTCCTGGAAGCTATGCTAAGACACATGGAGGACCAGGAGGTGATTCGAGACAGCCACTGTGGCTTCATCATGGGCAAGTCTTACCTGACCAACCAAATGGCCTTCTATGGTGGAATGATTTCATCAGTGAACAAGGGAAGAGCTACTGGTGTCATCTGTCTGGACTTCTGTAAGGCCTTTGACATGGTCCTCCACAATATCCTCCTCTCTAAATTGAAGAGACGGATGGGCTATTTGGTGTGTAAGGAGTTGGCTGGATGATCACATCCAGAGAGTAGTGCTCAATGGCTCAATGTCCAGATGGAGACTGGTGACAGGGGGTCCATGTTGGGACTAGTACTGTTTACTATCTTCTTCAATGACATAGACGGTAGGATTGAGTATACCCTCAGCAAGTTTGCAATGATACCAAGCTGAGGGGTGCAATTGACATGCTTGAAGGATGGGATGCCATCCAGAGAGACCTGGACAAGCTCAAAAAGTGGGCCTGTGCGAACCTCTTAAGGTTCAACAAGGCTAAGTACAGTGTCCTGCATCTGGGCTGGGCCAATACCTGGTATCAATACAGGCTGGCGATGAAGGGATTGAGAGCAGCCCTACCCAGACCAAGGACTTGCGGGTACTGGTGGACGAAAAACTCAACATGAGCTGACAATGTGCACTAGCAGCCCAGAAAGCCAACTGTCTCCTGGGCTGCATCAAAAGCAGCATGGCCAGCAGGTAGAGGGAGCTGATTCTGCCCCTCTGCTCCACTCTGGTGAGACCCCACCTGGAGTACTGAGTCCAGCTCTGGACCCCTCAGCACAAGAAGGACATGGGCCTGTTGGAGCGGGTCCAGAGAAGGGCCACAAAAATGATTAGAGGGTTGGAGCACCTCTGCTCTGAGGACAGGCCAAGAGAGTTGGGGTTGTTCAGCCTGGAGAGGAGAAGGCTGTGGGGACACCTTATTGTAGCCTTTTAGTACTTAAAGAGATCTTATAAGAAAGATGGGGGCAGACTTTTTTTAGCAGGTCCCATTGCGATAGTACAAGGGGTAAGGCTTTTAAGCTAATAGAGGGAATATTTCAGACTAGCTATAAGGAAGAATTTGTTTATGATGAAGGTGGTGAAAGACTGGCACCGGTTGCCCAGAGAGGTGGTAGATGCCCCACCCCTGGAAACATTCAAGGTCAGGTTGGCTGGGGCTCTGAGCAACCTGATCGAGTTGAAGATGTCTCTGCTCATTGCAGAGCAGGTTGAACTATATGACCTATAAATGTTCATTCCAACCGAAACCATTCTATGATTCTATGATTCTACGATCCTTTGTGAATTAAAATTTGAGAGATGGAGGTGTAAAAGGCAGGACGTTTATTCTCATACTAGCACAGAAAAGCTACTACTGTGACACAAAAGCAACTTTGTTTGAAACAGTGTAAGAGTAACTAAATGTTGTTTCTTAATGCTGACAAATGTTGATTCTGGGGCCTAAACTAGCAAGTCACAGGGTCCTGTGTAGTCCTGGTGTAGGGTGGCCTTCGGGCTGGAAGTCCTCAGAGAAGTGCATATGCCAGCGCCAGCATTACTTGGGCAATGCAGGATGAGAAGAGGCATGCAAGGTGTGATTCTATAAGGCTTTACTAAAGCACAAGACTCTTCAGATTGGATTTAAGTCCTCTTTTTGGACTTTGCAGCTGCGGGGGGGGGACACGACACACATTCAGCCAGGCTTAGATACGTAGTCTGCATGGGGTTGTTGTGACCGAACTGCAGGACCCAGCTCTTTGTCTTGTTGAACCTCATACTAATGACATCAGCCCATTGATCCACCCTGTCCAGATCCCTCTGCAGAGCCTTCCTACCATCAAGCAGATCTACACTTCTGTGCAATTTGGTGTTATCTGAAAACTTACAGGGGGTGCAATCAATCCGCTCTTCCAGGATGGTGATAAAGATATTAAAGAGAACTGGCCCCAGTACTGAGCCCCGGGGAACACCAGTAGTGATCAGCAGTCAACTGAATTTAACTCCACTCACCACCACTCTTCGGGCCCAGCCATCCAGCCAGTTTTTTAACCAGTGAAGTGTATCCCATCCAAGTCATGAGTGGCCAATTTGTCCAGGACAATGTTGTGGAAAATGCTGTCAAAGTCCTTTACTAAAGTCCAGATAGACAACAGCCACAACCTTTCCCTCATCCCCTTAGTGGGTCACCATGTCATAGAAGGAGATCAGGTTTGTCAAGTAGGAACTGCCCTTCATGAACCTGTGCTGATCGGGCCTGACCACCTGGTTGTCCTGTGTGTGCTACGTGATGGCCCTCAAAATTATATGCTCCATTACCTTCCGTGGCACCAAAGTCAGACTGACAGACTTGTAGTTCCCTGTACCATCCTTCCAGCCCTTCTTGTAGATGAGCATCACATTTGGTAAGCTCCAGTTCACTGGTATCTGCCCGGTTAGCCAGGACTGCTGATAAATGATGGAAAAGTGTCTTAGTGAGCACTTCCACCAGCTCCCCCAATACCCTCAGGTGGATCCTATCCAGCTCCATAGACTTGTGACTGTCTAAGCAGTGTAGGAGGCTGCTAGCCATTTCCCCTTGGATTACGGGGCTTCATTCTACTCGATGAAGGGATTGAGAGCAGCCCTACCCAGACCAAGGACTTGCGGGTACTGGTGGACGAAAAACTCAACATGAGCTGACAATGTGCACTAGCAGCCCAGAAAGCCAACTGTCTCCTGGGCTGCATCAAAAGCAGCATGGCCAGCAGGTAGAGGGAGCTGATTCTGCCCCTCTGCTCCACTCTGGTGAGACCCCACCTGGAGTACTGAGTCCAGCTCTGGACCCCTCAGCACAAGAAGGACATGGGCCTGTTGGAGCGGGTCCAGAGAAGGGCCACAAAAATGATTAGAGGGTTGGAGCACCTCTGCTCTGAGGACAGGCCAAGAGAGTTGGGGTTGTTCAGCCTGGAGAGGAGAAGGCTGTGGGGACACCTTATTGTAGCCTTTTAGTACTTAAAGAGATCTTATAAGAAAGATGGGGGCAGACTTTTTTTAGCAGGTCCCATTGCGATAGTACAAGGGGTAAGGCTTTTAAGCTAATAGAGGGAATATTTCAGACTAGCTATAAGGAAGAATTTGTTTATGATGAAGGTGGTGAAAGACTGGCACCGGTTGCCCAGAGAGGTGGTAGATGCCCCACCCCTGGAAACATTCAAGGTCAGGTTGGCTGGGGCTCTGAGCAACCTGATCGAGTTGAAGATGTCTCTGCTCATTGCAGAGCAGGTTGAACTATATGACCTATAAATGTTCATTCCAACCGAAACCATTCTATGATTCTATGATTCTACGATCCTTTGTGAATTAAAATTTGAGAGATGGAGGTGTAAAAGGCAGGACGTTTATTCTCATACTAGCACAGAAAAGCTACTACTGTGACACAAAAGCAACTTTGTTTGAAACAGTGTAAGAGTAACTAAATGTTGTTTCTTAATGCTGACAAATGTTGATTCTGGGGCCTAAACTAGCAAGTCACAGGGTCCTGTGTAGTCCTGGTGTAGGGTGGCCTTCGGGCTGGAAGTCCTCAGAGAAGTGCATATGCCAGCGCCAGCATTACTTGGGCAATGCAGGATGAGAAGAGGCATGCAAGGTGTGATTCTATAAGGCTTTACTAAAGCACAAGACTCTTCAGATTGGATTTAAGTCCTCTTTTTGGACTTTGCAGCTGCGGGGGGGGGACACGACACACATTCAGCCAGGCTTAGATACGTAGTCTGCATGGGGTTGTTGTGACCGAACTGCAGGACCCAGCTCTTTGTCTTGTTGAACCTCATACTAATGACATCAGCCCATTGATCCACCCTGTCCAGATCCCTCTGCAGAGCCTTCCTACCATCAAGCAGATCTACACTTCTGTGCAATTTGGTGTTATCTGAAAACTTACAGGGGGTGCAATCAATCCGCTCTTCCAGGATGGTGATAAAGATATTAAAGAGAACTGGCCCCAGTACTGAGCCCCGGGGAACACCAGTAGTGATCAGCAGTCAACTGAATTTAACTCCACTCACCACCACTCTTCGGGCCCAGCCATCCAGCCAGTTTTTTAACCAGTGAAGTGTATCCCATCCAAGTCATGAGTGGCCAATTTGTCCAGGACAATGTTGTGGAAAATGCTGTCAAAGTCCTTTACTAAAGTCCAGATAGACAACAGCCACAACCTTTCCCTCATCCCCTTAGTGGGTCACCATGTCATAGAAGGAGATCAGGTTTGTCAAGTAGGAACTGCCCTTCATGAACCTGTGCTGATCGGGCCTGACCACCTGGTTGTCCTGTGTGTGCTACGTGATGGCCCTCAAAATTATATGCTCCATTACCTTCCGTGGCACCAAAGTCAGACTGACAGACTTGTAGTTCCCTGTACCATCCTTCCAGCCCTTCTTGTAGATGAGCATCACATTTGGTAAGCTCCAGTTCACTGGTATCTGCCCGGTTAGCCAGGACTGCTGATAAATGATGGAAAAGTGTCTTAGTGAGCACTTCCACCAGCTCCCCCAATACCCTCAGGTGGATCCTATCCAGCTCCATAGACTTGTGACTGTCTAAGCAGTGTAGGAGGCTGCTAGCCATTTCCCCTTGGATTACGGGGCTTCATTCTACTGCCCATTCAAGTCTTCCAGCTCAGCAGGCTGGGTATCCTGAGAACAATTGGCATTATTATTAAAGACTGAAGCAAAGAAGGTATTTAGTACCTCATCCTTTTCCTCATCCTTTGTCATGATGTTTCCCCCCTCATCCTGCAAAGGGTGGACATTTTCCTTAGTTCTTCTTTTGTTGCTAATGTATTTATAGAAATATTTTTATTGTTTTTTTTATGGCAGAAGCCAGATTAGGTTCTAAGTGGGCTTTGGCCCTTCTAGTTTTCTCTTTGCATAACTTCACAATATGCTTGTAGTCTTCCTGAGTGGCCTGCTTCTTCTTCCAAAGGTCATAAACTCCTTTTTTTCCTGAGTTCCAGGAAAACCTCTCTATTCAGCCGGGCCAATCTTCTCAGCTGGCTCATGTTTTGGCACATGGGGATGGCCTACTCCTGCACCTTACAGATTTCCTTAAATGAAATTGTTTAAGTGAACCCAACTCTTCCAGAAAGTACTGTGCTGAGTCAAAGAGAGGATAGTCAGCTGGGGAATTGCCATGGACACATATGACAGATGCTGAATTTTTAACTGGTGGGATTTTTTCTCCCCATATCCAATGTT